AGGTATAGACAAAACAAGAATTTTCTGCTCACCTTACCTTCATAATATTTGAGCACCAACACCCACAGAGTTTCCAGATGCTCGATGATCCTACGAAGCCTTTCCGTCCATTGAAAATTGCAGACCGCGCCTGGCGTTCAGAGTTCAGCGCCGCATAGAATTCATTTGCATTGCATTGGCGTTTCTGAACAGCGCGAAAGATTGGGTATGTATTCACATTCACAGTAAACAACCCGAGGGATGGACTACATTATCCGCTGAAAGAACATCTTCTGTGGTCCACCAAACCACGTGCAGCGTTTTCAATCCTGAGCTTTAGCTCACGTTTATTGCATATACGGGAGGCCGAACACTGAAGGTACGGCAGAACTAAGAAAATCACGTCATAAAGTACGGTTTCCTTTCAGTTTTGGTGATGGACATGACTTTGAGATTCTCGAACACGCTGTTTACTGCCTGGTTTCCTGACGTGCAAAGTTCAAAGACTGATTCAGGACCACAGTATGCCTCGACTGGTCAGTCTCTGAGATCCGTATCATCCACAGACGGTTTTATTTTCTCGGCGGAGACTAGTTCTCAATTATTGAACACAATTCCCTTGGTGAACTTCTCCACTTGTCGCGAGACCAGTCTGAGTTAAGTGATGAAGGACGGTTGTTAGTTTTCAAGGCATAATATATCCTTCGGGAAAAACTCGATTCGAAGTTACGTATATTTCGTCGGATTAGGCCTTCCTTTTTCCCTGTAGAATGCATTATATTTTCTTCGAAACCCTCATGCGGATCTCTCTGCCTCTCCCCAAAGCAGGCAGTTCCAGCAGACGGATGCAAGCGTGTTTCAACGATGTGGTCCTTGCAACTATTCTGGCCACGTGAAGCCAGCGAGAATGAGGTATCGGTAGAAGCAATGCAATCAAAATCGCAGTCAACAGATTTACGTGTAGTCTTAGATGTATGAAGAGGATGATCGCCCCATCAATGATTCCTCGCCTCCCCAGTGCCTTCTCTGCACTAAGTGTGATAAGAGCATGCCATTATTCACCGGAAAAGCTTTCTCTCTCTGTCGACATTAACATGACTCCGTGCCTTTCAAAAACCCATGGACACAGATCCCATCCGAAAAGGTCAGATTCGCTTCCTGAAAAAAGGAAGCAGCTGTCGCTGAGTTGTCAGACTGTTGTTTCTTTATTCTAACTAAGCCTGTAATTCTGCTCGGTACTACACAAAAATGTGACGGTTTGATAGGACTTGAGATACCCCTGTTGTCAAAAGCCGTCAAAGATTCAGGGCAGGAAGGACTCAGAGACAACACTGTCGTGACATGCCACATCTAAATTGATGGACTATTGATGGACTATTGGTCTACTGGTCATTCCGTCGCTGTGGAGCATCTTCCGAGAAATTTCCAACAAGAAAGAAATTGAAGATCGCCAGTAGTTTTGCGCACAGCACGTCATCTCCAAGAACATGCTTCCACCCTGAGAGCCGAGAGAGAAAACAAGGCGACATGCATAAACGTACACAAGGGCTTTCGATGCGAGGAATCCACTTTGCAGCGCAAGGTCCATTCGGATTAACAGACGGACATGGTCACATGGTCGCCACATTCCTAGAGAAACTTCCGAGGAATTTAACTCACTGTAGCATTCTTGTAAAGCATCTCGCATTGATTATCGGACCATGCAACTCCGGAAGACGAGAGTATCATTATTGCATCCGAGTTCCAATAATTCAGGGTTGTGGGCTTCAATAATGGTGGATGACCGCAGGCCACATGGTCAAAGGTAGGTGAGATCGACCAAAGTGTTCCTACAAATTTCCCATCAAGTTGCTTATAAAGTGATGCTCAGATTCTGGCCCAAGATTCGCAGAAACAGCACACTCAGATGGAGATAACACTCAGAGGTGAGATTGGTTACCGTCCCCGCAGATGCACGTCATGCTGCCCTGGACGATGATCGAGAGCTGCCCGTTCAACAGCCGTCTATCACCGTGAAAAGCTCTCCGGGAATTGTTTGTGCAGTTAATCGAAGTAATAAACTTTATAAGTCTTGGAGCTCTTTGTCTCCATTGCTCTCAATTCTATCCACGTACTTCCTCTCCTCATCGGCATCCATGGTGTTCTGACCATAGACTGAAATGACACTTAGCCAAAGTTCTCCCTGTTCGCCTTCTTCGTCAAAAACCTTCATAGAACAAGCATCTCAGATTTGAGATCTTTCGATAACCCGGTGATTCTTCGTACCCTGAGGCAAGTAGACGTCAAACTTAAGGAAAGCCCACGTCGAAATAGATCTTACACCGGCGAGAGATCGCCATCTCGCGACGATGGAATCAGAACAAACAGAAGTCGGACTGTAGAACAGATTCTTCTCGACAGCTTTTCTGCTGTGCTTGCTCTCGAGATCTCAGCTCGCACTTCGAACGCTGGACTATCTTTGTCACTCACCACCATCTTCCGGTCATTATGACGCGATGAGATTGTTGTTGGACATCATTGGAACAACAGTCTCCCTCGAGGTGTAGAAGACGACGCCCTCTCGAAGTGTTCTGCCTCTTCTGACGCGACCGGTCTTCGCATTACGACTCCTGCTGGTCTGCCTCTTTCCCGGAATAAGGACCCTGGCGTCGAGCCAGCGTCATCTTCATCTCCGGTCCGGCAGTTCCATGCGTCTACTTCCGATTTGCTATTAATTTGAACAGGCTAGGAATTGGAACTTCGATGCTTACGTTGTTGATTGCATACATATGCTTCGAATGAGGTAGACTGTGTATTATAAATACGCTATGTATCTTTCAGTTCTATCACGGTTTATTGGTTCAACGTTTATAGAAATTATCTAAAGCCAGTTCCACTTGTATTAATTTGTGGTTAAGATGACATTTCGATGCTAAAATAATTAGATTGATAACCATATGACGCGTCATCGATTTTTTATGGCTGTATTTAAATAGGCTACATTTGTTTAGAAAAGAACAACTGATTAGGGATCCGTAGTTTTGTTCCTTTCCATTTAAACTGATTATCTTACATGATAATGTTTCTGATGGAAAAGAGGTGGAGTATATCAGTGGTTCCCGCTATCTCTCCTCGTACACACATTACAAGAATCATTGAAAAGACGTTCATTCTAGCTATAAAAATTATGAAATATAGTGAAATTCAAAGAACGGGCAAATTTTCGTACAAGTCTATTTATGGAAGTTGATATGTTATTATTCCTTAGGGAGCAGAAATAATCTGGAAAATTTTATGTTTTTTTATTCTCAATATTGTACCGTGATTATATACGTATGTTAAAAACACACCCGTTGAAACGTGAAAGTGTAAATGTGATTTTTTATTTAGTTTTAAAATACACCCGTCGAAACTTCGTGGCAATGCTGGACAGCATCAGAAGATTGTGAAAAGAAGTCACTTCTTAAACCACATCGTTTCTCTATCAGATATCTTTCACTGCAAATGTGCCTCAAAAGACAAGGGATCGATGCACATATTTCGCAAATTTCTTGAAACGACTCCTTGTCATGCATCATGTCATCTGGGCTGTACGGCATTGACCGTTTTAATGTATGGAACGTTGTGCAACGTAGCTAACGGATCAAGGTAGTCACAGTTGCTTGCGACTCCACTGTAAAGTAGACCGTTTCTTCTGGCCCCGGCAGGGATTCCAAGCCGATTTGGACGAGGGGCACCGGCGGGCCCGACAGAATGTCTGGTCTGCCAGTCGTAGCCCTGCGAGGGGCGGACATGCCCAGCTGGCACCATTCAAGACGCGCTCATGTGTGCAGCTGGTCGTCCTTCCTTATATCCTGGTTGGCTCAGGGGCCCCAGAGGGAGTCCACAGGTTCCTGGCAATCTCAAGCTTGCGTCTGAAGTCTGCGTCTGCATCTCTAACCGAGTCTCGCGAACTCTTCATGATGGAGAGAATCGCTCTGGCCTCTTTCAGTAGATTCTGGCCGAAGCGCCAGCAAACCGGAAATGTACGGGAAAGAGTACTGTACCTTCACGAATTCACCCTTCAAACACGGTCAGGCGATCGTATTTGGCAAATTCCTTCAGCGGAGCAGGAGGCCCTGGCCAGGATTGAATCTCGTCGATCTGGCGGAACTGGACACGCGACATGGCGAGGACATGTTACCGTTGACCCAGGCGCTTGAGATTGCTCCTTGTGGGGATTCCACGGGCATGCCTAACCTCGTTCGGAACTGTTTCGTGTGCCGATGGTGCCCCGACACAGGTGACAATTGAATGTGCGGACATCACAATTTTGTGCTATGTACGAGTCTTTCGCTTCCGTCCAACCGGAAATGGTTTCTAGCTGGATGAGCTCACCCTTAGGTGTGACGTGTCCTGTAACAAACACATTGTACCACTCTGATTGAGTTCTGCGGAGCTAACCCTGGGAGAACTCGAGAGAAGCACCTATGCAGTTTTGTCCACATGACAGTTCAGAGCCTACTCGACGCCCTTTATCGACGACGACACACCCTGCAATGCGGCATTGTAAGCTGTAAAAGCCTGACTGACAGCCACGAGTTCATTGCTTCGAAAACATCGTCAGCTGAGAGATCTAGGTAAAGGTTGGGTTTTGAGGCCACCGTCAGAAGATCGACCCTTCTGTGAACTCGGACAGCTAAAAAGCCTGACTGGGCCAATCGGTGGCCATTTCCGAAAGGATTAGACTCAAGTAGCTCGAGCTCTGCGTTCAGTACACATGGTTCCGAAGCGTCACACCGCTACGTCGAAGTACTGAGTACTCAAAAGGGCATGCATTCAGAACTTTTCTCAATTCGGCTTCGGCAAGGAGACGGGATCAGTTCTGTTTCGTGAACGCTGGTTGGTTGTCATAGTGGACACCTCTGTTTTGGCCAGTGTAAGTGCGACCTGGAAGTTGGTCCACTCTGCCGATAGACACCAGGTCAACAGGATAAATGCGTTTCTGTGGCGGTAGGAGGACATCAAGAATCAGGACTATCCGTCTCAAAGGTCGCTGATCTCTTGGACAAGCACCAACTGGGTCTTGACTTTATTATACGACTCAAACCACTCTTTTTCATATTATGATACATCTGAGTATATGACGTCAAGACCCGTTTGCTTCGGCAAATTGGTCAGTGTCAGCCATGAGAGGTGAAAACCTCGCCAATCAGCTGAACCTCTCTCTCTCACTCACTCACTCACGTCACTGAAAGCAGACCTCCGCTTCTTTAGGTTTGGCTCTGGTTTGCCAAAGCATCATCAATTATATACACCACAGACACTCCGAAATGACAGCAAGAAGTGCCCGGGCATGCCACTAATCTAGACTTACTTCATCTCCAGCTCAAAAAATCAGAAGATGCGCAGAAACGTTCAGTCTCTGCTTCAGATTTTGTAGACTTATCACCATTTGGCCTCGAAGGGTTAAAATCTCCGTAATTGACTGAACCTAGATTTTGATTTATCCATCGTACTCATCTCTATTTCAAATGTCCAAATGGAAGGAGGCGTGATGGCAAACTGTGCCATCGAGCTCTTTTTCCTTTTGAAAAATGAACGGGTGCTTTGCTCAAATTCAACGCACCTCAAAGGTAAACAGCCATGGCTGTGAGGCATCGCATTTACCAGTTGTAAGTTTTCGTCCACCTGGAAGCAAATTTTGCGAGGCCACGATCCCAGTTGATGAAGTTAAGCTGATGAGACGCCTGCTTCGAATGACCGCTTCCATTGGTAACCTTCATGGGGTGCCCTTTCCTTTGACTCCACTGCCCATCTGTCTGGAAGTGCTGAATATAACAGTCAAGTGGCTGCAAGGACAGAGCAGACTCATGCTCTGCGAATCCCTTTTGGCCCAGCATGAGCTCCATGGAGGGATCGTTCATTCACTACCTCACTTCAACTGCAGCGATCTCCTGTCACCATTTTCAATACCAGAAGGCGCTGATGAAGAGCCATATCTTCTTTAGAGAGCGGAACGCGACCAGGAGTAATTTCTACTAACTACCTGTGTCATCAGATTCCTGGTTGGGAGGTAAAGGAAGTGCTACTGGTACAGGAAAGATTTCTCTAGATCCAGGTCTTCTGTGTTGCCTGGAATCCTCCCCAGGTCCTGACGGTGGCATCCTCGGATGTTGCTCAAAAGAATGCTCCTCTCTCAGCGAGCCAGGAAATCCAAATACACTTTCTGATGAGCAGTGTCGCCATCCACCGAATAGGGCCGAGTTCCATGAGCCATATGAGGAATGCCTAGACTTGAGAGGCCCAGAGTGATCGTCTCTGACAACTTTTTGAGGATTTTCGAGTGCCTTGAGTATATGTTTCATATTTGGCCGCCTTGAAGATTTCGGATTGAGGCATGACTTAGCAATAATGGCTGTAGCCCAAACTTCCTCCATAAGATCCTCGTCCACAATGAGTGATGGGTCCATAAGCTTACTTAGAGGCTCCCTATCATGGATGTCAATGAGTGGCAGTGCCCAATCTAGCCAGGCGTCTGCTCCAGGGTCAATAGATCCACTTATTCCCAGCTTCCCGGAAACCAGCTCCAACAATACTTTTCCAAAGCAAAAGACGTCGTACGAACAGGAAGCAATAGGCGAACCTGAAGAACCTGTAGAAGAAAGCACATACTTAGTTCAGGTCCAATGCGTTGTTCGAGTGAAGCCATCTATCACCAAAATTCAATATGAAAGTCAGAAAAAGTGCAGGAGGAGACACCGTAACTTACCAATATCACTCTGCTCTGAGGACCTGCAAATCACAAGGAAAGCCATAGATATAACAGTTATTACTCAGTTCATGTCATTCACACCATTACGAGCTGTAAAACGACAACTAAAGAATTTTTCGGAACTTGACGATCCAGCCAGTATCAGACGAAAAAACAAACATGCGATTTTTTTTCAACTGACACCGTCTTTCATTTCCACAGCTTCAAATATACGTCTGCTATCTCTGTCTACTGTGGGGAGCGCAACTGTCCCACGTATTAGGCCGCAGTTGGTGATATTCATGCGCGTGAAGGGGTCGGAGGAACCTAATATCTAGGAACACAGAACCAACCTCGAGAGACGCAGGAAACGTGAGATGACGCCAGAATGATGTTCCCCTTGTTGTACTCTAGCGTCCGTTAGGCTTCCTAGTCGGACCTCGAATTTGTCGTCGAGGAGAATGCTGCTGGCTTTAACATCCCTGTGACATACAAAGTATTCATATGACACTCGATTATCGTTAGTCCTTGGCACAAATTTCCAGGGCAGCGATGATAAAAAAAAACTCGTGTCCGCACTCTCTGCTTCCCGACGTTCCACTGTTCAAAGAGAGCAAAGTACACAGGCGTGGAGTGCCGATAGACAGGTGAAGGAGCTACCTGTGGACAAGGGGAGGTGAACATTCATGGTGGAGATAGACGAGGCCCTCAGCAGCTCCTATAGCGATTTTCAGCCGTGTAATCCAGTCGAGCGACTGCAGCACCTCTTCCGGGCGACTTGGGCTGTCTTTTCGATGCAATGCGTAAGCTAAGTCTCCATTGGGCATGTACTTGTAAACCAAAAGCTTCTCCTCGTCGCGATCTAAACAATGACCCAAAAGGGGAACCAGCCTGGCGTGAGAAACCCTTCCGAAAAATTCCAGCTCCGAAATGTACATATCCTTCTTGAACCTGCTCACGTCGATTCTCTTGACAACGACATGAACATTGCCATTTATCACGCCCTTGTACAAATCACCGGTGTGTCCGGCCATAATCATGTTAGAGAGATCAAACTGGCCAGTGGATTGCTGCAGCTGCGAGTAGGTAAACGCTTCTCCGAGGCGGGTGACGTTTATAGACCTTCCCCCCAATGGCTTTATTCCATTGATTCCAGACGTAGCTCTCTGCTGCGCTGCGCGTTTTGCTCTCCTGCGGGCTTCGGTTTTGCGCTCGTGTTGTATAATGTAGAAAACCAGGACCGCAACCAGTAAGATAAGCCCGAGGCCCCCAAAGACTCCTCCCAAGATGGCTGCGAGATGACTGTCGTTCGATGAAGTGTTGTTCGGCGGAAACTGCAGCAAATCCTGGAGAATCCTCTGCCTGTTGAAGCCCCTGGCCTTCAGCATGCTGCGGCAATCCGACACTGACCGCTGACCGCTGGAAAGAGGAGGTGAGAAGCAATTATCGCGATAGTGCGCCCGAGCGTTTGGCTGCTCAATCCTCGGCGGAGCTCCGGTCAGGTAATTGGCACTGAGATCCAATAGGGACAGGCTTGAAGGCAGAGCTAGCTGCGGAGGCAGAGGACCGTAGAGTAAGTTGTGAGAGAGAAGCAGGCGCTGAAGGCTGAGGAGACCGCTCAGTTCGACAGGAATGCTGCCTTGCAAACGGTTGAAGGAAAGATTGAGCTCCTGAAGTTCCCGCAAATTTCCTAAGCTCTCGGGGATGCTTCCATGCAGGTCATTGCTCGCAAGATCAAGCACCTTGAGCTTGGCCAAGTTACCGAGAGTTGAGGGAATCGACCCTGTCAAGTTGTTATCTGCCAGACGAAGGATTCTCAAATTGGGAATCTCACCGAAGGAGCTGGGAATGGATCCACTCAATGAAGACGACATGAAGTCCACTACTTCTAACGAAACCATGCCACCTATCCAGACTGGCAAGGAGTCCAGCCGAAAAACTCCGGAGGCGTTCAATGACCGCAAATACGGAAGGTGCTGAATGGCATCGATGGACGCTGGCAACGCAGTGCTTGCGGATGCCCGACTCAACGAAGACAAACTGATCTCCACGACGTGACCATTTTCACACAGTACTCCTACCCAGGCAGAACAAGGATCGGAGGCTCCCGGCCACACTTCGTCCCCCAACTGCAGAGAAATGCGCAGCTCGTGTAGAATTGAAGCTTCACCAGGAAAAGCAGACGTTTGCTGCAAAAATGCACGTCCACCAGCGGAAGCCAAAACGAAGCTCCGTGCTCTGACGTCACTCAGTCCTACTACCGTCAGTACCCAAAGGAACACCGCTGGGTGAAGAGCCCATCGTCGCTCCGCCATTGAGGAGAATTCTAGGTACACCGCGGAGGTCTTACTCGTCTAAGAATCCGTCGGGCCATTTCATGTCGCCTGTTTAGAGCTCCTACTACACATTCTCGCCCGCGCAACAACCTGTCCCATCTATGGAGTTTGATCTGAGTCCGCCGACCGCGGACCGCTCCTACAAACTGTCACCTCGCCATAATCTCGAGATCAACCAATCTTCACCGACGACTACTATCACTTTCGCAAGCTATGGGGCCTGCAGCTGTACACACCCCACGTATTCTGCACGGCGAATACCCGGCTCCACAGAATGCGAAAAGGTCTGCCCTGCGCGTCCAATCCCCGCTTCCCGAGCCCTGCGTCGTCCTCGAGTCCAGAGGGTCGAAGTTCGCTGGCCAAGCCTGCGAACGATCACTCCGAGGACATGACTCTGTCAGAGGGCCGCTCTGGGGGAGCCCGAAGTTGAGCCGCTTGATCCCAAACAGTGTTCCCGCAGAAGTTTATGGAAATTAATGTTCAGACTCCGCTTCTGCTTTGGCGGATCACCCACGAGCCTTCTTCCCAAGGTAGGCATATAAATGTGTTAATAAAACGCTCGACGAGGTACTTGTTCCACTTCCTCATAAATCTCCTGATACAGGGCCAACCGTCCCGTCTACGCGGCACGACCTAGTCGCTGCCTCGTCCACTACATTGACATCATCACTGCCGCCGGAGCTACTTTTGACCCCTCACCCAATCTCGCTCATCTTCGGCTTAGCGACCTCCCGCATTCAAAAATTGCTCAAGAGAAGTCGCAGCTGCTCTTCTCGCTCGGATCATGTCCTCTCCTTCCTTCCTTCCTTCCTTCCTTCCTTCCTTCCTTCTCCTGCTGGCGCTGGGCCGCGAGCGACCCTCTCGTGGAGTTGGGGAAGAAGCGTCTCCTTCTTCCTACATGCGAAGTGGGCACAAACACAGAGAAGAAAAAGAGAGACAGAGACAGAGAATTTCAGATGTCCGAGGGACGACGGGGCGGAGCTGGCAGCAATGGCAGGGGCAGATGAGCGCGAGAACGGAAGACGAACGGAAAGGGGCGCCGGTGGTGTATGAATTGCGTGTGCTCGCGGGGACCCACGACAGTGGAGTGGAGGTGGTGGGGGGGAGACAGGGAATGCTATGGCCAGAGGCACGCTGCAACAAAAGCTCTACGAGAATGGGACCGGAGAACCTCGTCCCTCGCAGCCTCGCTTTCCTTGTTGGTCAAGTGGACAGAGAGGAGGGGGAGAGATCTAATGGACAGAAAGTGACACCTCCTTCAACCACACCGCAAAAAGTACTTCCCCAACAAATTCTTCCCCGGATCCGGGCCCGCACCCTCTCCCCGCTCGCAGTGCCAGATACGACTAACGACAAACTCACTCCCTCCTCTCCTCTCATGGAGATCCCAATCCCAATCCCAATCCCCGCCCCGCCCAAAACCACATTCCCTCCCTCCTCTCCTCCTCCTCCAGCATCAGCAGCAGCCCCCTCCACACCTCAAACATCTACATCCCTGCGCACCAATTCAGTCACTTCATGTCACCGAGCGCCACCCTGTCCTCTTTTCCTCCTGCAGCAATCCGCCCCTCTATCTCACCGGTGCAGTTCGGATGTTCAGGAGTGTAGGTCCGGCTCGACTGGGGCTCTGATTTGCTCGCTTGGGTGCGATCGGACCTCGTCGAGCAGGACGTTCCTCCCGGGGACTCCCTCGCCCTTCGCCACACACCCACAAACGCCCACAGACAGCAGACCCCGAACGAGTACAGTACAGGGGTACCAGGAGCTGCAAGAGGAGGAGTAGGCCCAGGAGAGGCCAGCTAAGGTGGCGGTCAGGGATACGACGGGCGCTCGTTGTCGCCTAGCGATGCCGCAGTTCACGACCAGCCATGCCCGCTTTGTCTGGTGTTCGCTTTCGCTTTCGCTCGCTCGCTCGCTCGCTCGCTATGCTAGGCCCCCGGTTCCGTCCAGAGCCGAGTCCGGAACCGGAGCGACTGCAGTGACTCCGGTGACTCCGGTCCCGCGCCGTCCCGTCCCAACGCCTCTGAGCCTCGCAGGATTACCGATCCGACGCGTGCGATCTGACTTTGCGTGCGGATCAGAGAGCGTCGTTTGGCTGGGCGGATTTTGATGCGAGGCGCTTGCGGATTCCTGATCATGCGGCTCGTGCCGTAGCCGTTCGATCCTTCTCATCGCTTGCACTCGGACGCCCGCACTCGACCGGCATCGGAAGGGTCCCGGGTCCACGGGCACCTGCCCGTGCGCCTTCTCATCCGCCGGGTGCCTCAAGGGGCCCCGGGGGTAAGCGACCTCTCGTTGCCGGGTCGTAGACCATGGAACCGGCGGCCGGATGCTTTCTGGCTCGAGTGGAATCCGTTGGGCTCGAGATGACCTACAATTGTCGGTTCTCGTCCTCGGGCTCGAGATCTTTCCCCGTGCGGAGTCCATCTCTGGATTTCTATATTTGAATTTTTGAAATGATTTCCAGCTTAATCAGCGGCGTCGTCGTCATTCCCTAATCTCTCATCTGGATAAGACATTGGGCTAATCATTACGCGCATCGGTGGAGGGTGGATTAGAGAGGCGGTGAGGGAAGGGTTCATGGAAGGAGGGCAAGTAGGCACCTGGAGGCTGGAGGAAACATTCGGCGAGCCCCAAGGTAATGAAGAACGATCAGCTTTTTGGTGACCTTCTAGACAAGGGGAGAATGTTTCGAGTTCATGTAGATTGAGGCAGCCTCGTCCCCATGAACACGATCTTCACATTGCAAATGCTGTGCTGTACATGCGCTGAGACCTTGATGAACCTGTCAATTTGCCTGACCTGCTATCACGCAGTCCGGAATCTCGTCCCCTCCTTCGTGACACTTATTGCTTATCCGTTGCAGTTCGGCCCTTGACGTCCATGATGAAATATCTCTCTACGACGTGCCATGGAATCACGCCGTCATTCTGCACATTGTAGTTTCCGTCGAGTTCAGCTTCGCGACGAGGTCGGGCTCGAGTCTTCTCTCGTATCCGAAGTAGGACCATTTTCTTCGCACATGCCACCCAATGGCTGTCTTCTTTTCCATTCAAATATCTCACTTCATTTCCTACGTGTGCGATTGGCCCTATCTTCTGCAGACAAGGAAATACTAAAGAGAACACCTCCTTGTCTGGTCTTCGTTGTGAACTCATGTAGTATCACAAGCTCAAATCAAAAGGGTTACATTTTAATCTGCTTGAACTTCGGGGAAGGTCTTTTCTAGTCGAAACGGTACTGGATCTTAGCTTGGTGGTCTAGGATATCAGTGTGAGCCTCGCTTAAGTTCTTGCGCTCGGATGGATTGCCATGGCTGTACTTGGTCAGTCTATACTATTTACATCAAATTATTTGTCTTTCCATTACTATGCACTTGTCACACTCGTAAGTCCCTATTTCATATACTTGTTGTGTTTCCGAAAATATCCGGAGAGAAAAACTATATCCGAATGGACTTAAATCACTTGACTGGTCATTCCATCATAAATTACTGTTAATCTTTCAAGCGTTTCTCTAGTCCTAACCAATGCAACTATATTTGGCCTAAACAAAACGATTATGTAGAAGTTTAGTAGCTTCATCCTTGGAATAAGAATGACGTCTAGTATTGCGTCTAATGTCCCCTCTCATTGATAGCCGACGCTAAATGCTCTAATCCAATCATCGATGATGTGTCTAGATTACACCCAAACATGCATCAAGTGCTATTCAAACTCTTGTAACTCATGCATATTGGAACTGTATTTTTTTATTGACTCTGATGTACTTCATCATCTTCCATTTCTGTTCCTTTCATGGCTCTTCCATAAAATAGGGAGTAACTCGAATCTTTAACATCTGTGGTAAAAATTATTATCGCTCTTTCTTTCTTTTTAGTATATCTTCAAGAAATCATAATATATTTCTTTGAATAATGTTAAATTTCATTCATTTATTCGTATCCAAACCGACAAATATTTTCCAATGTTAACTTACATCATAACATTTTGATATTTTTAAACGATCAAGATACGAATAGAAAATAATCTTGCATGATTGATATGATAGCCCTTCTGAAGGGCTCTGAAAAATATAACTATAAGCTATTTAACTGTGTTGATCTCTCGAGTAAAAAATGCTCAAGTTACTTCACCAAACCATTCACGTGGCTTGGGACTCAATTCCCTCTTAAGTTGAGTTTTAAAAAAAATTGTAAAGTGCATGAGATATATTTTACTTCACAACGTCAGATTTTTTCATAAGTATCATATGATCAATTTACAATAATTTTATGAAAGTTCCTTTTTTTATTAACAAAATTTATTTTTATCCAATATGTATGTTGATAATTATAGGTCTGAATCCTATATGTAATTATACCAAAATATCATAATTTTTTGCACAACTTGTGAGACCGTCAAGTTTTATATTTTCATTTCAGTTCATGTATCAAAGTGTAATGAATGTAAGTCATCACAAGAAATGCCATTAATAAACTACTAAAGTAAATAGAATATTACAAGTTTAAAAAATGTTGTATCAATGAATTTTTAAGATACCCTGTTATTTCCTCTACGATATTTTCTTATTTTCTTAGTGAGGATATCACAGAACTATGTCTCAATCACACCATAAAGATAAAAGAATGCAATAAAAGGTTCTCAATTTATCAGATAAGATATACATAATTTAACATCTACATAAATATTTTTTCCCCAAAAATTGTATCCTATAAAAATATATTTTACGGAAAATTAATTTGAAATAGAAATGAAAATTATGGTTAAAATGAATATTTTATTTGAATATATACGATATATATATTAATTATAATGATGTGTATAATTCTTTGATAAGGGAGATTAATTAGAGATCATAAAATTCAATAATTTATTTGAACTTCATCTGTTTCGAATAACTGGATTTAAATATGTATAGTCATTTGATATTTAATATTTAAAATAAAAGATATGAAATTTCAGAAATAAGAAAAAATTGCAATTAATAAATAAATCTTATCTTTAAAACTATGAATTAAAATTTTGCAACCTTAAAAACTATAAATAACAGGCTGAATCTGTGAAAAAGAAGAAGAAGAAAATTTAAATGAAAAAACTAGAAATCAGAAAAACATTACGTTTATTTAGGTTTTTTTAATTGAATTATTTTTAAAAAATCGAGTATATATATTTGATAGTATTGTAGCACTTCATAAATTTTCCCCTACAGTTTTATTGTTATGGAGCTTTGAATATAGAGTCCAAACACAATAAGTTATAAGATGATATGACTTGACAATGTAAATTTACGATAGGAGTTTCAAAATCAAGAGCATTAGATTTACTCTCGCGCGACATTCAAACGTTTACACCTTCGAAACAATCATGTTAGCTTTTTATATTTGCACATTTCAAGAAAATTACGGGACTAGTTTTTCCACTATATGTGAGCAATCACTCCATTATAACACAATGATGTTGCAGAAGAATTTAGAGGTTTATATACAGTTCTAAATGAGTTCCCTCTTGTCTCATTTCACACGAGAGTATTGAAATCTCGATGAGCAAAGAATGGTTTTCACTATTATACATTAAGGTCAATGGACCTAAGTTAGTTCGTTGCATGTTAGCATATCGCAGGTGTCGTTCAAAATATTGCTGTGTGATGTTAATGGGGCTAGCCCCATCTCACCCAATTTTGTTTATCTCCATGCACCACTAGGTAGCGCGCACAATTTCAATTTGCTATACTACTTGGTTCACCACCTGCCTAGTTCATACATGGGGTTTTCAAATTTGGATCAGATGGTGATAAGTTAAAAGATGAGCTAGAAGTGGTAAACGGGGTCCAAGTGGAAAACAAAACAAGTTAAAGCTAGTTGAGGTGATAGTTTAATCCATCGAACAGTATTTAATGGAATATTCAATGGAATAGTTTGTAGATATATTTTAATCCCATCATCTCGGAGTATTCAGGGTGTTAATGGTCGTACGTATGACTCACAAAGTTTAAAATACAACTTACAGCCACTACAACTTTCCTCGAAAACGTCAACAGACAAATACAGGTCTTGGAAGCCGTAAACCCGCCAGACTGCACAAACTTGATTCCTTCATGTAGATACAAGGCCTCATCCTTTGCCTCGTCGTCATCGGAGAGACACCATAAGCTGAAACAACGTCAGCTTCGTTCTGTCCGACACCTGCGAGACTACGACAAGGTCTGCCATCGCTGGCTCATCCAACCGCAAAGTTTCATAATTATTCCGTACTTCTGTGCACCTTCTGAACTTTCTCCGCTGCACATCACTTGAAAAGTTCGAAGATACTCAATTCATTTGAACTGCAAAACCCTCACCCTTTCGAAAACTCCCAATCCCACATAATTCTCATCTCTCACCCGTGGTTGTGACGATAGCACAGCCCGAAAATACAAGAAATATAGCATATTTCGGGTTTTGAGGTGACATGACTGATCCTACTGGGGTAAATTTGATCTTCTCGCAGGGTCTCTTCCGGCACGAGTTAAAATAGTTGTCCTTAGCCCATCATATCAGTCTGATACATAATGCCGCAGTCATGTGCTTTACTTCAGATTAGCTGTCAAGCATATAGCTGAATATAAGAGAAGCTCAAAAGTCAGTCACAGAGTGCCAACAGTGGTGTAGATTATGGGGATTCACATCTGGACCAACTTCTTTAAAGTGCTTATTATCATAATGTTCACCCTCTCTACGATTAAGTCACACGGTACATCGATCATGGCTCCAGATTTCAAGTTCACAGTAACTCATAGCCTGTATACTAAGTGCGTTTGCCAAAGTCCATCGCCATTGCATGGCACAAGAAAAGTTTCGTACACTTTACTATTTAAGAAAGTTTCAGTTCTTGAAGGAGACGCGGTATTGACCTTGTGCTGTGAGAATAGACCGGAACGCAAGATTGATCATGAATAAAGTCTTCGGTGGAAGTGCATCTTATTGGCTCAAAAAAGATTTTGTCCATCATTCAGTGGTGGCGAAAGAGTGAGACTTT